CCGCGCGCTGGCGCTGCTCGAGCACCTTGACGTGCGGGTTCTCGGGGCCGAGGTTGCACGCGCGCGCGCGCGCGAGGTAGTCGCCCACGTCCTCGAGCGTCATGTTGGCATCGTCGACCTCGTGCTCGAGCTCGCGCACGAGCTGCTCGCGCGCGACGAGCTTCTCGACGTCCGCGAGCTCCTCGATGTACACGTTCAGCGACGAGCCCTCGAGCAGCAGCCGCTCGCAGTCGCGCACGTACGCCTCGCGCTCGGGCTCGCCCTCGACGGTCGCGAGCAGCAGCTCGTGCGCGCGCTTCTTGAGCTCCTTCGCCTTGGCCGCGGCCTCCTTGAGCATCGTGATTTCCGGGCAGTCGAAGCCGAGATCCTCCACCTGGTTCAGCAGTTCATGCAGGTCCTCCAGACTCTTGTCCGGCCGCTCGCCCGGGTCCTCGTTTGCGCTCGCCGCGGCCGCAGCCGCAATGTCCGCGAGCGACGGCCGCCCGCGCTTGCCCTTGGAGCGCTTGCGGCTCTGCTTGCGCACGAGGAAGCCCTGCGCGGCGTCGACCCAGTCGTTCGCATGCGCGACGCACCGCTCCAGCCCGCGCAGCTCCTTCAGCGGGTGGTTGATCCGGTCGCCCTCGGCGACGAGCGCACGCAGCGTGCGGAGCGGCGGGCGCGCGCTCTCCGCGAGGGTGCGCTGCAGCTTGGCCTGCCACGCGGCGGGGATCGCGGCGCGCTCGGCGACCTTGGCCTGGGTGTCGAGGAGGTCCTGGTCCGAGAAGCGCTTGCGCAGCACGCGGTGGTCCATCGCGCACGCGCAGAGCAGCGCGGCGTGGTCGACGCACACGATCTTGGTGGTGCAGCTGCACGTGACCTGGGAGAGGTAGCAGAAGACCTTGCACACGCTGCACTGGTACTGCTCCTCGGGCTTGTCCTCGCCCTCGAGCGTCTCGCCCATCTTGAGTGCGCGCGCCTGGCGCCGGTCGCGCAGCTCGCGGTCCGTCATCTCCTTGAGGCTGTCGTTGAGCCTGCGCAAGTCCGTGTCAGCGCACCCGCGAGCACGAAAGAGAAAGAACGTGCAACGCACCAGATGGCGGTCGCGATCGTCTGCGACTGCTGCGTGATGGTGATGAGCAGCTCGTCGTGCGAAAAGACAGGCAGCTTGCGGTGCTCGCGGTAGCGCTGCACACACTGCCGGCCGAACGGCAGCCAGTCCGGCAGCGCAAAGTTGACCGCCTCGTTGAAGTTGAGCTGCACCACACACGGCACGCGTCAGCACGCGCACCCAAATCACATCACTGCAACAAGACTTACCCCGTGATTGAACCCGGCGTGGTACGCCTTGGGGTACGTGATGACAAACTCGCCCGCGCGCTGGTTGCACGCGTAGACGCGCACGCCCGAGTCGACGAGCCGCTTGGGGTTCATGAGCGTGACGAGCTGGAAGAGCAAATCCGGCTGCGCCTCGAAGAGGTCGGGCGCCTCCTTGCGTATCGCCGCCTCGAATTTCTCCGCGTCCTCGCCCGGGATGCCGTACCATGTCTTTGTCTCGCCCCAATGCACTGAGCGTCATAGCGTCAGCACACACACACACATGCCAGTCCGTCCCGAATAGGCAGGCGACTTACTGAAGTTGACGCTGTACGTGTAGTGGTCCTGCACGTGCCGCGCGTCAGACACTATTGGAAAAGGCAATGAAGCTGCTCACTTCGTTGTGCCAGCAAAAGGTGGAAAAGACCATGCCGACGTACGTCCAGGGCACGGTCATGCCCGAGATGTCCGACTTGATGTAACGCAGCAGCGACTCGCTCAGGATCGGGATGTTGTTCAGGTTCCACGGGTCCTTCGAGTACGGGTCCAGCGGGTGCGTCTCCAACGTCGGCATCGCGCTGCACATCACCAAGCCAAGTCAACATCAGCACATCACAGCATTGCCTCGGGCCACGTACCTCCCATGCGTCGTCGAGTGCACGTCCGCGCCATACTCAATCTCGACCGTGTCCGTCGGCGACTGCACGAGGCGCCAAAACTCGCGCTCGACGTCGTACTCCGAGATCTGCTCCTGCTCCTGCTCCTGCCCGTCGACCTTCATCTTGTCCTCGCGCCCGGGCGGCGGGTGGCTCTCGAACCACAGCCGCCGGAACTCGCGGTCGCGCGCCTGGAAGCTCGACAGCGAGTGCTCCTCGCCCTCGTCGAACCCAAAGTCGCCGCCCGTCCCGAACAGGCACGTGTGGCAGTACCACTGGCCCTTCGGCACGCTCGTCAGCGGCGGGTCCAGGCAGAACATGTGGAACCCTGTCAACCGAAAGAAATGAGCGCCGTTGCGAAGTGAGAGATACAAGCGTGAATTACCGCAATCGCAGCCGTCGCAGAGCAGCATCTCCTCCCCATTATCGCTGCCATGACATATCTCACAAGGTTGCTAGCATCACCCTCAGTCAACCACCACAGATCCACAAGGAGAAAAAAAGAAAGAAAGCCTACCTCCGTCGGCATCTCGTCCTTCGCCTTTTTCTTCTCCTGCGCCTTCGCCCCCGACGCACTCGACGCCGGCTTCCTGCTCGCCGCTGCCCACCACACCCCGCATCAGCCGCAATCCACAATAAACCACAGAATCAGAGCAAGAACTAACGGGTAGACTGTTCCGCGGTGGCGCCCCGCGTGCCCCTCCTTGTCCGCGCATGCGGCGTCGCCGCATCCTTGCTCTCGCTCTCATCGGGCGGCTCCGACAGCGGACTCGACGTCGCCGTGAGCGGGCTCGACGGCGGGCTCGACGGCTCCGCCGTCCCGCACACACTGGCATTCGCGCTCGCGCTCGCGCCCGTACTGCCAAGACGCCGCTTCGCGCCGGGCCCCGCCTGGATGTTGACGTGCGTGCGCACCTGTCCGTCGCCGTTCCCGCGCGCGCCCGTGAGGTGCGACAGCGCGGGCGACGTGCGCACGCGCTCGCAGAAGTGCTCGTACGGGAGGATCACGCGCGTGTACGAGTTCTTGATCTGCGTCGACAGCCCCGGGATCCCGCCGTACCCGAGCAGCCGCCCGAGGTCTGCCCATTTCTTCGCTTTCGTGACCTGCGGCGGGCGCGTCAGTCGGATGTCAGATGTTAGGGTATAAAGAGAAAGAGGTGTGGACAAAGGAGGAAAAGATAAAGAGAAAAGAGGAAGAGAAAGGGGAAAGGGGAAAGGGGATGCACACACCGCCTCGTAGCCACCGAGTTTTTGTACTTCCTTGCGCAGGAGCCACAGATCGAGCGGCTTGCCGTTGATCGTGGGCACCGAGACGCGCGAGCTGCCCTGCTGCTGGTGGAAGCGGTACAGCTGCTCGAGATAGTTCACCTTTGCGCGCGAGGACGCCTCGATCGAGTTGAGCCGCTGCAGGCGCGTCGTGAAGCGGAAATTCTGGCGCAACCAAGCCAAGTCAGCATCTCCCTCCTTCCTTCCCTTCCCTTCCCCCCTGCGACCACACGCACCTCCGTATCCGTCACAAACGGCATCTTCCACCCCTCCGGCGGCACGACCTTACACATCCCATACGCGCGCGCCCGCTCCGAAATCCTGCCCACATACGCCATCGGGTCGCGAAACTCCTCCTCCGTCGGGTAAAACACCGGCACATCCTGCAGCCCGTACGGGCGCGGCCCGCGCGGCTGCGCGCGCGGCGCGCTCGTCTTCACCGACGCCAGGTCCAGCCGCGCGCGCACGGGGATCGGGGCGGCGCCGCGCGCGAAGGAGACGGCGGGCTGCGCTTCGCCTGCTGCTGCTCCCCCCGCCCCTGCTCCGCCTCCGCCTCCGCCTCCTGCACCTAAGGAGACACCGCCGAGCTCCTCCGCGTCGCCGTGCAGCGCGTGCTGCTGCAGCGCCGCGAGCGCGTCTGTCTTCGACTTGCGCGGCGCGCGGCGCTCGCTTTCAGGTGCGGGTGCGGCGGTGGCGGGCGCAGACGCGGACGTAGTGGTGGTGGTGGAGGGCGCGGTGGGTGGCGGGGCGGGCCCGCGCGCGGCGGGGGTGGGCACGGGCACGGCGCCCTCGACGGGGATCGAGAGGCAGCTTGTGAACGTGGGCGCCGGCTTCGCTGCGGCGGCGGACGAGGAGGACGATGCGGCGGGGAGCGAGGGGGACGACGGGGCGGCGGCGGCGGCGCTGATACTGGCGCTGGCGCTGGGCGTGCGAGGCGGGCGCCCGCGGCGGGCGGGGCTCCCGCGGGCTGGGGCCGACGGGGAGCGGGGGACGGGCATGCGGGGGCGGGAGTGGTGGTGGTAGTGTGGTGGTGTGGCGAGAGGTGATGAGGAAGAGAGAAGCTTGGAGGCTTGAGCGGAGGCAGGATGCGAGCGGGCCTTGAATCCCGCCACACCCACGAGCTGGCCCTGCCCCGTGCGACCCGCCGCCCATTCCACCCGCCTCTCTTCCCCCGCACGCTCTTAATTCTCGAAACTTCGCGCATGTGCTAGAAGAGGTGTATTCTGCGTGCCCGTGCGCGCTGCGTATTTTTCAGAGGCGGCGCGGGCGAGGAGCGTAGGCAGGGCGAGGAGGCCGCTGACACAAGAAGACGCAAAAAGAAGCCGCGCGCTGCCGAGCGGCGCCGGCCGCCAACGCGCGGTTCCCGGTTCCCCATGCCTCGCCTCGCCCTCCTCCTGTCGCCCCCGCGCACGGACCCTCGCCCATATCCATGCCCAGCGGCGCGGCCTGGCTCTGAGTCTCAGAGCTCCCGCTTTCCTTCCTTCCTATCTCCATCCGATTCGTTCAGAGCGCAATGACAGGGCAGGGGCACCGTACACGTACATATCGGTATTCATAGATGCGATGGCGCTGAGATCGGCTCCGCACAGCCCAGGCCACACTACAATGGGCGAAAGCCGCCTGCCATTCGCGGCTATAACACCCGTTTCTGTTTCGCCATTCTTTTCACCTTTTGTCGTCGCATTCCTTTCGCAAGCTCAAGGAAGTGAGGAACAACATTGAACAGCCCACCGGCTCCATCATAAAAACCACGCTCACAGGAGATGCTCCATACCAGCTGATGTCGCCGGGATAGCTCAGCTGGGAGAGCAACAGACTGAAGCCGTTCGCCTGACATGTTCAACGAACAGCCTTCTGGAGGTCCCGTGTTCAATCCACGGTCCTGGCATTTCGTTTTGCTTGCGCTATCAATCGCCAGCAAGGCGGGTGTGCGTATGTTCGGTATTGACATATTCTGCTTCGAGTGTCTGCAGCTGCAGCCGATTGTCAGTGTCGCTGTGGAGACTGTTGTGACTGACTGACGCCTGTTTGAGATCCAGCTGTCGATTTTCGTTGCTACCACAAAGGATGGATGATCACATCGCAGACACAATACTCCTCTTCAATTACAGCATATACCTCAGTCGCACCACCTCACACACACCAAAAAGGCGATTAAAAAGTTGCTTTCATTGACTTCAACACACAACCCTTCAATCTACCCGCCACGGATTCGGAAGACCGGACGGGCCTAGACAAACGAACAAGAAAAGAGAAAAGGAAAGTAATAATCGAGGCTGAAAAATCGAGAAGATGGATGTTGGGCGATGCGGGTGCGGCGGGGGGAGGGGAGGATAGAATGACGTGCGACGACAGACATGGACAGACGGAGAACACAGTAGGACTAACTTCGCCAGAGCGAGCATCCCCGCGGCCCACACGAGGGCGGCGCGAGAGCGCGCTTAGGCCTCGTCAGCCGCAGCCTCACCAGCCTCGTCCTTCGCGTCCGCGGGCTTGTCAGCAGAGTCCTGCATGTCCGACGTCCAGAGCGTGAGGTTGTCCCGGAGGAGCTGCATGATGAGCGTCGAGTCCTTGTAGCTCTCTTCCGAGAGCGTGTCGAGCTCGGCAATGGCGTCGTCGAAGGCCTGCTTGGCAAGGTGGCATGCGCGGTCGGGGCTGTTGAGGATCTCGTAGTAGAACACGGAGAAGTTGAGCGCGAGACCGAGGCGGATGGGGTGGGTGGGTGGGAGCTCGGTGACGGCGACGTCCGACGCGGCCTTGTACGCCTCGAGCGACTTGTCCGCGCTGTCTTTCCGCTTGTCGCCGGTCGCGAACTCGGCGAGATAACGGTGGTAGTCACCCATCCTGCGCAATCAACAAGGTCATCACGTGCGGCAGCCAGAAAAGGCAAGAGGGTACAAACATCTTGTGGTAGAAGACCTTGGACTCGCCAGAGGCGGCCGAGGGGATGAGGTGCTTGTCGAGAACGTCGAGGATGTCCTCGCAGATCTTGGCGAGCTCGCTCTCGATCTTCTCCCGGTAGCCCTTGATCATCGAGACCTGGGCCTCGTTGCCCTTTGACTCCTCCTTCTGCTCGATCGACGACACGATCCGCCACGACGCGCGACGGGCGCCGATAACGTTCTTGTACGCGACCGAGAGGAGGTTACGCTCTTCGACGGTGAGCTCCTGGTCGGACGAAGCGACACGCTTCATGTTCTCGACCATCTCTGCGGGGCTGTTAGCGGATGCGCTGGTGGCACGCGACCGATGACGCACCTTCATAGCGCTCAGCCTGCTCAGCGAGCTTGGCGAGGTAGACGGAATCTTCGCGGGACTCAGGCATCTGGGACAAAGAGGGCTAGTGAGACACGCGCACGACGCGTTGCAGACGCGTTGCACTCACTGTGTAGGGGGTAGAAGGTGATAAGGGGGGTGGAGGTGTATGTGCTGCGTGGGGGACGACAAGTGAGCAGGCGGGGATGCAAGGAGATGGGGGAGGGACGTACGATGTGGGAGAGGGGAGAGAGCAGATGATGGTAGTTGAGTTGAAGGAGAGCAGGATTAAAACGGGAGAGCTGGGCACAGGGTTTCTGGGTCCAGGGTTCTTGGGCGAAGGGTTTCTGCTTTCCCACGCCCGTCCCATTCCGGCATCTCGCGCCACAACCCTCGCTCTCTCCTCGTCCCCCCGACCAGCATTATAATAACTCTTCCTTCACAACCTTTGTACGCTTTGCCTTGTCTCCTTTCTTACCCGCTTCTTTGTTTCTGTGCCCTTGCGCCTGTCTCGGCTGCGACCAGACCACGCGCCGGTGGCAATTGACGTCGCATCTACGCCGAAGCACCATGACGCGTTTCTCCACATCCGCTGACCGACCGAGCACCAGCGCATCCTTACAGTACGGTACACGTCCCACCGCCGCGCAGCGCTTGCCCCCGCTATCGTCGCATCACACGGCCGCTCGCTCGCCCCAGTGCCGGATCTCGCGCTATCATCGCGCTTCCATCCGCCATCGCATTCTCGCACCTGCCATCTTGGACACACGTCCGATAGCCCTGGCGTCTGATACCTGATACCTGATCCTTGATGGCTGCACAGAATCTGCCCTCGCCGAATACAGCAGTCGCTCGACCCGGTGCCGTCGACGTCCTCGCCGCAGCCGCAGCGCGTCACGCTCGGTGCCGGGACCTGATACGCGTCGGGTGCGCGCCACATTTGCGTGTTTGCCTTTGACTTTGTCTTGTGTCCGCGCTATGTCCGCGTCTTGGCTCCTCATCTTTGTCCTGCGTCTTTCTGCTGTTGCATACGCTTGTCTGAATGGGACGGTCTGCAATGTACGCCTGTGCAAAGAGAATGCGTTATTGACGCACGTTCGCAAATGAGGCAAGCAACGAGGACTCGTGTATTGGCGTTACGTCACAGAACTTGCTTTTGATCTCGACGTCGTACTCTAGGAGGCAATCGTGGTTCTGCTTCTCTGCGACTCGCGACGTAACTTGTTACCAGCTCCTGGCTACGCTTATCTACTCTCCCCAATAACCCATCCCACTCCCCAGTACTTGAGTGCTGTCGGCTTGGTATCCCTTATACACGCAACTGTTGGCCGACAGTTGACGTAGATTTCCAACACGACCCGACCCCGCGAAATCCGCCTGCAACGCGCAGCATACACACAGGCCTAAGACGACATGTCCATTGGAGGTGGGATGAAGGACGAGAGGCGGAATACGATACGGAGCGCGGAAACCAGATCATGATGCATGGTGCAGTGTCGACGTACTTACGCATGTAGAACGGCGTCGTTCCGCTGTCCACGTTCCCGAGTTCCCAGACGTCTGTACTTACCTATGCTGCCTGCATAAGTACAGGGGGCGTGTTGTTTCCGAACACGTATGTATTCGGGCGTATCGGCAGGCCCAGCTGAAGTTCCTGACGCCTCGCGACCGCCGCCGGTACTCCCGTTTAGTGCCATGATCTGTCGCAAATTTGCGATTTTGGCTGTTTTCTGCCGCATTTGGAATGGACGTATAGTGCGAAATGCCCATATTTGGTCGACGTGGAAGTCCAAAAATGTTCGTTGCTCCGGCCAGCTGCTAGTCCCTACGGTACCGGTGGAACAGACCCCTCAAAAAGAGTCTTATTTCCTTGCCGCCTTTCGAATATTAGTAAATGCATCTACTTCAACATGCTGCCTTCGGATGTCGCCAAAGCCACTGAAGTTAGAACATCATTGGAGGTTTCCCTCTCCGCCGCCGGTCGGCAGTCTCAAGGCAACCAACTCTCCGTGCACTCCCCGATGGCGATCATCGCAATTTCATCCTCAGTGTTCGTGTTCGGCAGATATCCGGGGCTCAGGCTACCGTGAGTTTTTGGCAGATCTCATCAGATCGGCATCAACCAGCACCGACACCGACACCGCAACACACTGCACAGTGCTCACTTGTTCCGATTCCTCCAAGCTGTGTTCACGCTATGTATAGATCTAGAGCGAATGTCCGGTGCCCGGGCGTGAGCAGCTTCGTGAGCTCACAGTCACTCGCGACCCTGCAGAGCGTCTAGTATCCACCCGTTCATGTAAGTATCGATATCGTACAGTGCTCACTACCAGATCCATCTCACCTTGGTCCATCTGCCCAACCTCCACCCCTCGCTAGCAGCTAACTACCATCCTCATACCTCTAGGTACGATCACAATCACCCAGCACGCCCACCCTCGGCGACTTCTCCCACCGTGCGTGGCCACCCACAGACCCCCACCCATCGCGCAGCCTGGCAACCCCGGCGAGCACCGGCCAGGCTGGCAAACACCATCTGATCGCCCGCCCGCGTTTACGCACTCTGCTCGCGCGCCAGCTGGTCCTGATGATGCACGCCCCGCGCGCCGTGGGCCGTGGCCGGCGAGCTGTGCGCAATTTATAGCGTAGATCGCCGTGCGCGCGCATAAAACGCGCCCTGCTCGCTCGTCTGCCCAAATAACCCCACCCCCATCAGCCCTCGTCCGGCACCCCACTCACTAATCCCAAAATCCCAACGAAAGACATAATACCATGAACGGCTGGGACAACGACCACCAAGGCGCATGGCCCGCCGGTGCCGCGCACTACCCCGGCCCGCAGCAGCAGCAGCAGCACCCAGGCTACCCATATAACTACCCCGCGCAGCCGGGCTTCGCGCCCCCTCACCAGCCAGGCTTTGCGCCCCCTCACCAGCCCCAACGCGGCTACCCCCAGCAGCCCGGCTTCTCTCAGCAGTACCCCGGCGCGGGGTACCCCCAGCAGCCGGGGTCGGGGTATCCCCAGCACCAGCAGCAGCAGCAGCAGCAGCATTACCCACCCCAGCACCAGCACCATCAGCAGCAGCAGCACAACGATGCTCCGGGACCCTATCCCCCGCGCGGCGCCTCGCTCTCCTCGCACGCCTCGCGCTCCTCCCTCAGTCAGCACGCGCCCTCCCACTCCCCCTCCCCCAACGGCCCCTCCCACACCCCAACCCCGGGCACGTACACCCCGCCGCCGCCGATCCCGTCCGTCATCGCGGGCGCGCCGCCGACGCAGCACTACCACGCGCACCTCGACGCGCGGCACGCGGTCACGTTCCGCTTCTCGGGGACGAAGGACACCGTGCTGAGCTGCGACGTGCTCGACCCCGCGGGGCGCGCGCCGTTCCGCGTGCGCTCGTGCGAGGAGAAGAAGAAGAGGCGCACGGTCGTCAGCGGGGCGCCGGGTGCAGGAGGTGAGGGAGGTGGCAAGAAGGGGCATAAGGGCAAGGAGGACGAGCTGGCGGCGGGCGGGCAGGTGCTCGCGAACATCGATTGGGAGCACGCGAGCCCGACGATGGAGTACCGCGGGGAGAAGAAGGTGAAACTGAAGAACTGGATGGAGCTCAATTTCCAGGAGAAGTGCGTCCTC